GACAGTTGATCCTTTCCAATGAATGGTCCCATTTATTAACCTTTTTTGGTCTCACTGAAGTGGTGTTATGGCAATTTTAAGAGTTATATCTTCTGTTTCTGGTCCATTTTTGGAAAGCTGGTAGTTGCTCATATTTAATGGCCAGTGGAACCAGCGCTAACGGATGGCATGGCATGAGGCTGTAAAAGCTTAGCCAGAATCCACTTGTTTGCTGAGCTGCTCTGCATGAAATATTCTTGCTGGAGTCTTCCAGTGTGTTTTTTCCTGCAGCACCAAACAATGTGAAGCCTGAACACCGCTGTAAAGAATGATCTCATTCTTTTTGCTCCAAGCCATTCCATCCTTTATCTCCTGGAGTCACAGCTTTAACTTGTGACTTTTCATAGTTTTACTACTAAACAGTCTACATTTTATGGTGTTTAATGTTCCTTTGGTTTTTTTGTATTCTTTCAAAGCATACTTTTTCACGTTTTGTTCACGAATGAGGGAAGAATGGAGCGTGAGATTGACAGGCGTACTGCTGCAGCATCTACATTATTGCGGACTCTGTACTGGTCTGTTGTGGTGAAGAGGGAGCTGAGCTGTAAGGCAAAGCTTTCTGTTTACTGGTCGGTCCACATTCCTACCCTCAGTCACCTATGGTCACAAGCTCTGGGAAGTGACCAAAAAAATGAGATCATGGATACAGGTGGTTGAAATGAGTTTCCTCAACAGGGTATCTGGACTCTCCCTTAGAGATAGGGCGAGAAGTTCAGTTATCTGAGAGAGACTCAGAGTAGAACGGCTGCTCCTCCACATCGAGACGAGCCAGTTGAAGTGGTTCAGACATCTGGTAAGGATGCTCCCTGGGCGCCTCCCTAGGGAGGTACTTCGGGCATGTCCGACTGGGAGGACACCCCAGGGAAGACCCAGGTCTGGGAACATCTTGGAGTCCTCCCAGAAGAGCTGGAAGAGGTGGCTGTGGAAAGAGATGTCTGGGCCTCCCTGCTCAAGCTGCTGCCCCCGTGACTCGACTTCGGAATAAGCAGAAATAGATGGATGGATGGATGGATGGATGGATGGATGGATGGATGGATAAAAGCATACTGTATGTTTGTTTAGCTAAATACCTTACTTCTTGTATTTACACAACTCAGTACGTATGTACACCCACAATGTGATAACTGACTAAGTATCTGAAGCTTTTCTTAGATTATCTGATACATATGCTGTGAAATTAAATCCAGTGTTGCTTTAAAAATAAAAACAAAACATTTTTTGGTACCAACAGTAGTGAACAGAGAGCGGTACCATCAGTTTCCCTTGGGTTAAAGGCTTTATTTTGGGTGTTGGAACATGATGAAGGATGGCAGTGCTGGAACAGAGCTAAACAGTGAGAGTTATTGTATCCAGAGCCTTGAACTAAGAAACAAACCTTCATAAAACAAAATTAAATAAAAAAACAGTGTGAGAGGTATGCACGGTACTCTTCTGCAACACTGCATCCAAGTTGAACTTTGCTGTTAGGATAAAAAGAATCATTGACCACCAAGTTATACTTTCTTTTCATTCCAAACAATAAATTGTAGATACAGACACTTAAACATGCTTCTTGGAGAAGCGGAGGCATCTTGGTGCTCAATCGTTAATCTTGAGGTTGTGGGTTTGAGCCCAGGATGTGTCAGGAAGGGCATCCAATGTATAACAATTGCCAAATCTTTAATGTGAGTTTGTTTGCGGTGGGATCCCTGCTGAAGGGAACAGTTGACAGAAAAACAACAAACATGCGTCTTAGACAATTTAATTCAACTGTCTAGAAAAACAACAGTTAACTAGGAATAAAATGACCAACACTCTGAAGTCAAACCTTTTGCCCCTTTGCTAAATGTTCCCGCATGCAGCCTGGCATAGCTGCTTTCTCTTTTCCACCCTTCAAGCACAGACTATTTGAATAACTCTTTTCCCAGGACACCAGATCATTGTCCAATTATGATGCTCATTGCAACCATCTTCGGGAAGTCAGTGCCACAAGTTTCTGTGAAAATCTAAAGGACATTCCTGTCACAGCGTGCAGCTGCTCTGAGAGTGTTAGGGTCTAAGTGCATTTGTCAGTTTTCCAATGCATTTCATCTTGTGCTGCAATTAACAAGTACAGAGCCATCATGGGTGACTTGGGTTCAGTAGTGTACAAATGAATCGTACTGACAGATTGGGTTTCGGGGTTATGTTTCATGTATAACATTGCCCGTATCAGTGCCATGGCAATCCAGAGTTGTTTTCTTCAGCCACAGTTGAGCAGCGGGGGACAGGTGTGAAAATCCTCACAGTAATATGAACCTCTTAAGGCCTCTTAAAGATGGTTCATTCTTACATAACTGCTATTTCAAGATGACCCAATGTGTTGCATTGTTTTGTTGTGTCACCGTGGTTAATGATACGAGCTGTGCACTGAAGTGAATTTGCATTAGCGAGCTGTGGGTGGTACTGTTGCTCTTTAACACCAGTAAAATGTGAAGGTGTAAATTTCAGCTGTCTTTTCAACTGTTTTGTGCTCCTTTCAGCTTTATTCAGCCAAGCAATTCCATCTTGTTAAGCTCTTTTCAACCTATTTCTTCTAAATCAATCTATTTCTGGTATTGCAACTACTATTTAGCTGCTTTTATGCTAATTTCAGCTTTTTCAGCTAATTCTACATTTTGTTTGCAATCAATTCAACTTTTTACAGCCTAATTCAGCAAAAATCATGCTCTACCCACTTTCTTCTGGTAATTTAAGATGATTTCTGCTTGTTTAAGCTACTGTTCAGCTGTTTTTGGCAAATGTCAGCTTTTCTCAGATATTTTCAACTTATTTGTGCTAATTTCTGCCTCTTTCAGCCGTAGTGGCAACAGTTGTGCTCAGTCCACTTCCTTTTGGAAATTTAAGCTTCTTTCTAGATTTATTTAGCTAATATTCAGCTGTTTTGGCAAATTCCTGCTTTTTTTTTTTTTTTTTACAGATAATGTCAATTTTTTTGTGCACATTTCCACTTCTTTCAGCCTTAGTGGGCTCATTTCTGCTCTCTCCACTTCCTTCTAGTAATTTAACATTATTTCTGCTTGTTTTAGCTACTATTCAGCAGTTTTTGATTAATTTCATCTTTTTGCAGACAATTTCAACTTTATTGTGCTAATTTCTGCCTCTTTCAACCTTAGTGGGCACAATTAAGCTCACATCACTCCCTTTTGGAAATATAAGCTTCTTTCTACATTTCTTTAGCTAATATTCAGCTGTTTTTGGCAAATTCTTGCTTTTTTACAGATAATGTCAACATTTTGTGCACATTTCTACTTCTTTCAGCCTTAGTGGGCACATTTCTGCTCTCCGTACTTCCTTCTAGTAATTCAACTTCTTTTTTGCTTGTTTTAGCTACTATTCATCTGTTTTTGACTAATTTCAGCTTTTTGCAGATAATTTCAACTTTATTGTGCTAATTTTTGCTTCTTTCAACCTTTCAATTAAGCTCAAGTCACTCCCTTTTGGAAATATAAGCTTCTTTCTACATTTCTTTAGCTACTATTCAGCTGTTTTGAGGAAATTTCTCGCATAAAAGATAATTTCCACTTCTGTTTTCTTCTGCTAACTTAGTCTTGTTCTTCCTTTTCAGCTACATTTCTGCAGGTTTTTAACTAATTTCAGCTGTTTTTCAGCAGGATCTTCAGCAACAGGCATTCACACTCAATTTCCGCAGGAAATACAAATTCTCTAGTATTACTAATTACCATTTAACAAACCCATTGCTACGGTTATTACATTATTGAATTATTCACTAATATCAATGCTATTTTACCTTTTAAACAGGTCATGAATATGAGTATGACCAGGGGAGGCATTGTTTTCCACAGTATTCTGCTAGCAGCATGGATGCAGGTCACAGAGGCTTATCAGAGGTGAATTTATTACTGTAGCACCACGGCCACGCTAGCTGGGGGGGCTTTAGTGTTCATCTGCTGAAATATCTTTTGCCCCTGACAAAGGCTGCCAACCTCCGCACTGCTCTCTCCTCTTTGGTATTCCTCACATTTCAAAATTTGTTTCTCGCACCAGCTGTGACCTTTATTCATCGGAGGTCAGCAGAAAAAGTGAGACTGGGTTTGTGTGTGTTTGTGAGTGAACAAGGAAGGGGAGGTGTGTGTTGAGGGAGGGAGACTTCATTTGTGCGTTTGGACGAGGGGAGGCAGAGGGAATTGATATGACATGAGGAGGAATTGTCACCTCAGTTCATTGAAATAGATTGTGATATGCCTGTGAGTTCAGAGCAGACACAGGCAGTGATTGTCAGTATCTGGTAGCTCTTCACTTGATCTGATTTTCCTCCTCTTGAATCAAAAACTCAGTCTGGTTTGGCTTTTTATTAGCTGTTTTTTTTTTGGGATATGAAATCTAACTAATGACCTGGACTTTAATTTTTCTTTTTTTTTTTAAGATGGGTCATAGTATAATCTGCTTATGGGACATTCCTTGAAGCATTTCCTCTGTTTTTACGTTCTTTTCGTTACTCCAACAGTTGGACTGGAGATTTATACAGAAACACTACAGCTGAGTCTGTTGTTGAAGGGCTGCTCTTCTGCATTAAAGTTCAAACTGAGCCCTGTGGGACGCCATGCGCTGATCATTTTTCACAGTAAAAAATGGATTCTGGGGCTACGGACTCTGAAGATTCATGCGACTGGGGCGACTCTTCGGAAGAGGGGACCTCATCAGAGGAAGATGAACTTGATGTCAAATACAATAAAGAGTAATGCCAATCTTTCAGGGATGTTTGTTGACCGTTGAAAAATGTCGCTTTCATCGGGTGCCAGTTCAACTTAGAGTGACAGGCGTTGAATTAGACAAGAAGGCTTTAACTGTGTCCATCATCGCAGCTTTAATGAAGCATTTAAAATTACTAATAATGTGGATTATTAATAGTCTCGCTGCGGTGTGTCGTTTGGACTCTTGGTTCAGCCGACTAATTTTGCTCTTGTCTTCATTTTCTCTAGGGAGGACATCAGGACAGCCAGCGTCATCTCAGCAGAGGCAGTCACCTGTCTAGTCATAGATCGAGAGTGAGTATTTTTAAACTTAATGTCTTTTTTTCTGTTAAACTATAAAACAAGCCAACAAATATAGCTGCTCATGGCCATATCCTACAGGTGTTTAACTTCTGCAAATGACCACAAACCATTTGCTTTTCATTGTTTTCAATTCCCAGACTTATAAATGCATCACGGTTATCTTAAAAGTTTCAGTTTCATATATTTCAATAAGCTAAATATGTTCACCATGAACTATTTAAACAAATCATGCTTTAAATCAAAAATGAAAACTGATTGTGCAAGCATTAAGACTACATTTACCTGCTATTGTTGCTAACTTATAACACTTCTTTTGATTTAACAGTACAAAATAATAATTATTAAGAAAGAGCAATGATGGTTTGGCTTCCAATTTTTAACGCAGCTTTGCTTTAAAAAGCTGCTCGTAAGGATTGTTTATTATAGGACGTCACGGCCTATAGAATCTACTGACTGATCCAGATGATGCAGTTGTCCTTCAAATATTTTCCAGACAAGAGACATAAAATCAGATTTTGATTTACTGTACTAAAATAATGTCTCAAAGGCAAATGTAAAATTTATCTCGAGCCCAGCTTTAGCAGAGAAACTACAAAGATGCCAGTTTTGTCTAAGAATTACTGCCACTACGTTTTTTTTTTGTTTGTTTTTTTAAAGCAGGATCAAAGAGTGTGTCTATATTTTAAGCTACACAAAGTTCTTTAAAGTTTTGACAGGCCATATTTATTCTATTTTGTAACTACTTTTATGTTTTAAAGTATCGTGCCTTCCATGTAGGACGACCGTATATTTTAAAAAGCAACTTTAAGACTGGTTACCCTTTAAGGTAATATATTCTCAGCCTTAAATCTCAAAGAAGTCCTGTTAAACACATAAATGTACAAGGTGACACATTGTTTTAAAGAGATCCCTATGACGTGTTGGTGATATGTTTGGGTAAAATTACAACAACGATAAAGTGACACTTCTTAACTCTCTTGAAACATCACTATGTAGAGAAGCAATTGTCTTTTTTTAAGACACCTATGGTTGGTTTCACATAAACCAGTGAAGCTAGTGATATCCCGACGCTGATGCCTACCTCATGCCTACTCACCAACTCTACTCTGTGACTACCTCTCTTGCTGGCTTGAATCAGACCTTCTTTAGTGTTGACCCCAGCACTTCCCCTTTCTCTGCATGTATTTCACCTATAAACACAAGTTAAATTAACGTGTCATTTGAAAAACACATTTTGCACATGCCTCTCATGAGGATTGAAGTTTACTGGAGTGGTGTCCATTTTTTAACACGTTCACATGGTCTATACACATTGTTTTCTATAATGGCAGACTTTAGTATAGATGTATTTGTTTACTTGTTGAGGAAAATTTGTAGTCATTTTAAACATAAAACTGTACGTTAAAATACACAACATCTTCTTTTGTTGGCCTGCAAAACATTGAGGTGGAATACGTGGATCGCCCCCCTACTGTGGGTGTGCCTCTTTACGTACGGATCACAGGATGTAAAGGTCAGACAGTGGTTGGAGATGAAGACAGAGAGGCTGGAGAACCACTCTGAGCTGGGTCTATGACATCATGGATTTTTGGAAATTTGACCAAATCGCTAAGTGAGAGGGCGGCACGGTGGCACAGTTGGTAGAGTTGTTGCCTTTCATTGAGAAGGTCGCCCGATTGAATCTCAGCCGGGGACTTTTCTGGGTGGAGTTTGCATGTTCTCTCCTCCCACAGACCAAAAACATGCATGTTAGGCTGATTGGTAACTCTAAATTGTCCCTAGGTGTGAGTGAGAGTGAATAGTTGTTTGTCTCGTTTGTCTCTGTGTCCCTGTGATGGACTGGAGACCTGTCCAGGGTGTCCCCCGCCTCTCACACAGTGATTGCTAGATATGGGCACCAGTAACCCCCGTGACCCAAAAAGGATGAAGCGGGTAAAGATAATGGATGGATGGACCAAATGAGAAATTTTTAAACTCATACAGCTCCGCGCAAAGTGAAAGGTTGTTTTGTATCTGAGGTTTTATCTGAAATTTCTTCAAGTACTCACTTACAAATTTAGTTCAAGTTATTTATGTAGAGCAAATTCTCAACTAAAGTCCACTTAGGGCAATAAACGAACAAAAAAAGAATAAAATGAGCAACTATAAATCCAGTTACAATTATATCCATCCATCCATCCATTATCTTTACCCGTTTATTCCATTTTGGGTCACGGGGGTCGCTGGTGCCCATGTCCAGAAATCACTGTGCGAGGGGTGGGGTACACCCTGGACGGGTCGCAAGTCCATCACAGAGCCACATAGAGACAAACGAGACAAACAACCAATCACTCTCTCACTCACACCTAGGGACAATTTAGAGTTACCAATCAGCCTAACATGCATGTTTTTGGTTTGTGGGAGGAAACCGGAGTAT